TGCGTGCGTGCGTGTGTGTGTGTGTGCGTGTGTGTGTGTGTGTGTGTGTGTGTGTGTGTGTGTGCGTGTGTGCGTGCGTGCGTGCGTGCGTGCGTGCGTGCGTGCGTGCGTAGCTCTGGTCTTCGCGTCGCAGGTGTCCAGCGTCCATGCGTGTGCAGGTTTAGGTGCGCATGGGCTGCGCAATCCATTAGACGCGCCGCTCATCATCATCTGTTTCGCAAGCGGCAGAGCCAACCAGTGAGATCTACCCATGAACCGTAAACACTCGCGCACGCCACGTACGACAGGTGGCCAGCTGTTCTTCTTTCAAGCTTCAAAGGGTAAATGAGTTGTATCCAATGGTTTGCGTTGCCAAAGTGAAGTTAGTAGCCATCACAACAAGGGGGGCCCGTGGGCTTCTTTTAGTTTCACGTTTGGTGCTGTTGGGTTCTTCCTTCTCCCAGGGAACCTTGGATAGTGATATTGCGGGTGATTTGTACTATAAAGGCCATTTGTCGGGGTTGGTGTGCCGAGGCCGGCATTCCCCGCTTCCCTGTGTCGCTGTACGGAGGCCCCCCGGGGGTGTGATACCGTTCTCGATAGCTCGATATGGATTATTAGTGTACGATGTGTGTGTACTCGTCACTGTCCCACGTCATCCCAGTTGCCCGCGGGTGTGATGTAACCGGCACGTACACACCTGCGCGTGTGGACGTGTATTGAGCGCATGTGTGTATGTATGTATGTATCTGTTTTACGTGGGTAGTGTAGGTATACAATGTATGCAAACATCATTACCCGGCAGATTCCGTTGGATGCTGGTGGTGGGTGCGGAACCTGAGCGATCCACTGAGAAGTTGACTAGGGTGACTGGATGAGGGTGCCCCGAAATACCGGGGAAGGCAGGGTTTCGCAGGGTAGCTGCCACGGGCGAAGATACACCCCCCTGTTTCACACATCAATACCATCACCGGCACCATTACTCTGCGACCACTATTTGAGTGAGGGAAGGTAACAGATTCCGTTCAGTGGTCAATGAGTTCCTGGTATTGTGGCGCCTGCCCAAGGGCCCAAGCAGGGGGGCAGAGGCAAGCACGCCATCCCCAGGGAGGACTCGCGCGGGCTGTCCTTGTTAATGTTACAGAAGCACCTCGTAAACGGGGCCCTATCTCCCCCCAAGGAAAGATCAAATTATTACGGCCCGTTCACCAGTCAGGTCGTGGCCAGCCGTATCCCTCCCGTCGCCAGGGGGTGGGCAGGCAGCAAGACGGCACAGCGAGGCAGTAGGCCGCCGCGACCTCACCCCGCCGCACTCGGGCCGGTCACTGCGACAGCCCAACGGCCTGCCGGTCCAACCGCAACCGCGGGGGCCCCTTAAGGCCGGAAACACCGGCTATCACCACCGCCATCATCACCGCCACCGCCGGCAATAGCTCTGACCCCGTCCGGCCCCCTCCGCCCCAGCAGCTCGACCAGCTCCAGCGCCAAGGCCTCCATGCCCCCCGCGGAGGGGCCCCCCTGATTGAGCTTCACCCGTACAATCCATTGACGTGGCACACCGCCGTAGTAGGGGCTCCTCCCCACGCCATCACCACTCACCACCCCTCGCCGCGGCTCCGCCGCGGCCACATCGTCTGAGAAAGATGGCTGCACAAGTGTAGGGCCCACTTGCGCCTCCGCACCCTCCACGAGCATCTCTGCTAGAGGCTCCAAAAGCTGCCGTCGCAACAAGTCCGTACTGCCTGCCATGCCGCCACAATAGCCGCTGTGGCCCGCTGCTGGCCGCGTCAGAGGCGATGACGACGGTGGACCCGCCGCCGCCGTCGCCAAGCCCGCCAGCCACGCCGCCGCCGAGGGCTCCACCTCAATACCCGCTACCCCCGCCGGCCGCAGCTGCGCCGCCAGCTCATCCACTTGCCGTTTTATGACCTCTGTGCGCTGCTGCTCGTCCAACGGGTGAAAATGTACGATGCGGTCAACGCTTGTCCACAGCTCGGGGACCAGGTTAGAGCTACTGCCGCCTATGCCGTACGCGCCAGCAGTAGCGCTCCAATCAGCGGCGGTGGCCGCTGCCCCTGAGGTGGCGATCCCGGCCCCGGCCTCGGACGTCGCCGCGTCACCCGCCTGGCGCCCCTCCTGGATTGCTCGCGTGTGGACGGCGGCGGCGGCGGCGGCGGTGGTGGTGGTGGTGGTGGTGGTAGTTGTAAATACAACGACTGCGTTTCTGAGTGAGGCGCTGCGGCCCTGGCCGTCCCGGATGTCGCCCTCCTGCAGCCCGCGGCGTAGCAGCTCCTGAACCTTGTGGGCCGGAAATAGGGTGGAGGGGGGGGGAGGGGAGAGAGCCGGAGGAGTCGCGGGGAAGGCCCCCAGAAGTGCAGGTGGGGAGCTACAGCACCTCCAGACCACCCTGACTTGCCTCAAGCTCGCGGCCACTAGCATATGTCATAGCGCGCTACGCGCCTTACCGCATCCCAAACACAGAACGTCCACAGCGCCGCACACACATACCGAGACGAGGAAACCGGCAACCTGAGCTCCCCCGGGATTCCTGTCCGGGTAGCCGGATGACCCCCCGGGTCTCCCCCCCCCCCCCACACACACACACTACCTCATAATGCGCCTTGTCCACCTCCTGCACTAGCAACACGCAATGGGGCCGTCGGCGCAGCGCTTCCGTCAGCAGGCCGCCGCTGCCGTACCCCACATAGCCGGGCGCCGCGCCGACCAGCCGCGCTACGGAGGTGCGACTGCCGTACTCGCCGCCGTGCAGTACAAGTAACGCCGCCGGGTCATGGAACAGCTCCTCCGCCAGCGCCTGGTGAGGGGTGCGGGGCGATGACAGCTAGGATGTGGGCGACGCAGCGTCGCGATAACAGCCTCATCAGGCAGCACTGCGATAGCCCAGCCATGCCGTACCGCTGTACAATTGAAAACCGGATCGACTCCCCATCACACATACTTAGTCCTTCGCTTCATTTGGCACAATGTGGACTAAGTGTGCATTTTATGTATTTCAGATAGGGCAGATATTTGCACAGATTTAGAAGGGATATTTAGTGCTGATCCAAGAGTAGTTCAAGATGCTATTAAAATTGTTTATATAGCATGCGAGCAAATACTCGTTTTGAGCAGCTATGGGGCATGGGGCAAAAGTTTTGCATCCTAGAGCCGCAGTTAAGACCAGCAAAGCGCCGGAACCCCCCCCTCCTATTAATGCTGCTACCATTCTCTGGTATATGAGTGTCGGTCACATTCCAACAGCCCCTCTTGCCACCGCTAGGTATAATTATGACATGAAAATATTATCGTCCTTTAATGATAATGCCGGGGCATCAATCAGTTCAAGAAGTTTTGACATGGAATCTAAAATGGAATTAACGTAATAACTTTAAAAAAAGTGTGTGTGGTTGTTACAGTGGGCTCCAGACTCACGAAAAGTAGAGCCAGCGGATACACAGATTGACATTACCAGTGCCCCAGATATTTTTCTCTGAAGTGATTAACAAATATACCGAAAAAGACTTAATTGTATATAAAATAAAGGTTTACAATTATAACAAAATTAATTTGGTAGCGGGTCTAGCTTTATATAAATAATATTCACGCTACTTCAGATAACATAAAGAACAATAGCAGTATCTGTTTCAATATATTAATAATGTTGAAATAATAATTATAATATTGAAACCGATACCGCTATATACATAAGATAACCGCCATGTTTGCCACGAACGGTTGGTTGGTTGGTTGGCTTCCGTAGGTGATTCTTAACTAACCAACCAACTAACCAACCCAGGGCCCCGCCGCACCCAGACCTCGTCAGCCTGCGAGCGCAACCCCAGTCCCGCACCTGGCACAATGTGCTCTTGCCACATCCCGCCGGACCCACAAGCAGGAAGCTAGCAACCGGGCGGGAAGAGGAGCGCAACGGGGGAGAGGGCGAGGGCGGCGACAGGCTGGCGGCGCAGGTGGCTGCCGTCGTCGCCGCCGTTGCCGCCGCCAGGCCCAGCCGGTGCAGTTGTATGGCAGTGCACACGGCCCGCACCGCATCCCGTTGTCCCACCAGCCGCGCCTCCAGGGCCGTGCGAAGGTGTCGTACAGGTGCCCCGAAATGGTCTCGGAGCACGGCTTCCAATGGCAGCCCCGTAGCACGTGACACCACGTCCAGCACCGCCCTCTCATCCACAAAGAGGCCGCCACCACTGCCACCACTGCTGCTGCTGCTGCTGCTGCTACAGCTCCCAGTTCCACAGCCCACATCACCATCAGTGCAGGAAGCCGTATTGGTACCGCCAGGGGCTCCGCGGCACTCGACAGATTTCCCGCTGGAAGCCCCGGAGGGTTCTTGTTGCTGTTGTTGATCTAGAAGCTCCTGATGTTCGTGGTAATGACCCTGAGGATGTTGGTTGTGTTTTGGTGGTAGTTGTTGCAGTTGCAGTTGTTGCTGTGTCAGCAGGACGCTCGTCCCCAGCAGCAGCTTCTCCGGGGCGATATTGAGGAAGCNGTGTACGACAGCTCGGACAACACAGCCGAAGCGCCTCTGCGGTGCGCCAG